CGTTCACACCAACAACCTTTTGGCTACCAGCCAAGTGCTCAACCATATGCCCGACCAGAATGCCTTGTAGGTTGGGTTTGGTGTGGGTGTTTTTACATCAGGAGGATGAAAGTCTATGTGCCTGGCATTTTCCATGTAGTATATATTTTAGAGTGCTTTCCGAGCGGTTTCATTTGGTGAGCTCTTGAACAGCAGTGTGATAGAAGGGGGGTGGGGGGTGCAGGGAGCATACCTTTATGCATGACAACGAGTGGTATGTATGCTACAATTGGTAATAAAATGGTAACAAGAGGCAGTAAGGACTGAACCCTATTGGAAATTGGGGGGTCACCTCCTACCAGCTCTGGAAGCAGAGAGAGGTTGAAATTAGAGGCAGCCATGGTGACAGGACCAGCAGGAATTGCAACCCATGTCCCAAAACTCCCCCTGCAGACTCAGAGAAGGGGCCACAGCTGAGGAAGCCAACCTCACCCTCTGCCTGCTAGAGTGTGGGGCAGGGGGATTAGGGCTGGAGCCCCCCGCCCTTGCCTACAGGTTTAGGTGAGAAGAACTCATGGCCAGCGCTGAAGGTCACTGTCGGACCTTACTTTGGAATCCAGACAGGCAGTGGGAGCTAGAGCCAGGGAGGGTGTTGGGTGCAAGAGAGAAAGAACACACTGTCCAGTCCCAACCCTGGACAAAAAGTGGGACCAAATGGACCTGAAGCCTCCCAGCGCATGTCCTGGGCACAGAAACCACGGGCAGTCCCCTGTCCAGGAGGCTGTGACCGGGTGGCAGTGAGTTTCATTGTTCAGCACTGGTGGAGGCGGCTGACGGGGTGGGAGAAGGCTGCCCCGGTAGGGAGAACTTCAGGAACCTCGGTAGCCCTATGGGGAGAGGCTGAGGGGTCAGATCACTCCAGAAGAACTCGGCTCCTTAGCAATGACGGGAGCGTGGTGTACCAGAAGGGAGAGCAGTAGACGATGTCCCAGGGAGGGAACCATGCCCACACTTGTACAGCACTCCAGAGTTTGACGACATCGTTTCATATCCATCATTGCTGCTCCTTAGTCCGGGCTCAGGGATGATTCACCCACTAAACAAAGGTAAGCGCAGGCTTGCTTGTGCTGACTAATCTGCACGCACAAGCAAGCTTGTGCTTACCTGGCTCACTTGGTCCTCCATCCCTGCCCGGGGCCTATTCCATGATCGGTAGGAAGGTGCTGTAGGGTGGGGAAAGGGAGATGCCAGCCGGCCCTACAAGTAGCCTCTTAGATGTGGTGAAAAACTAGGGACACTGTTCCTTAGAGGTTAGTAAGTAAGCACAGGTCATGCTTACCTTGCTGACTGGGTAATGTGAAGCCTTGCTTCACATTCAGCCATCTGGGCCTCCCCACAGGCCAGCCTTATTGAGAGCCCCGAGGTTGGGTTGGGCCCTGGAGGAGAAAACCCCCGGGGAGGCGCTGACCCCAAGCCCCCCGGGGCAGGGGCAGCGTCACTGCACGCACCGCCAACGTGTTTCTGTTGAGCAAGGGCTTACCCGGTGAAAAACTCGAAACGTGATTAACGGGTGAATCCGCTTCTGCAGCTCTGCGCACGGCCCTCGTCAGTTTCTCATGAGTGACAGGCACCGAGGCACCTCAGGGAGCAAATGGAAGGCAGGGTCCCCACGCCGCTGACGGCTGCCGTCCGCGCCCGCAGGTCCCTCGTCCCGGCTAGCCGGGCCATTAGTCAGCACATTCCCGCGGCTCCACCCTGCTCGGCGCCACCTGCGGGCAGACGGCGGAAGTGCTCGGGCCGCCGCCACTGCGCGGCGCCCGCGAGTTGAGCGCACGTTCTAGTGCGGAGGCGGCGGCCCGGACGTGCGTCCATGGCAACCGGCGCCCGCGGCGGCTTCCGCAGTTCCCCGCCAGCCAATAGTAGCCGGCCTGACGTTCCCCGCCAGCCAATAGTAGCCGGCCTGACGGAGGCAGCCTGCAGCAGAGTCCCGGACGCTCATTGGAGAGGCGGGGGCCGCCACTGCAGCCGCAGTGCGGGGCTAGTGGGCGGGGTGGACGAGGGTGCCACGCACTGCCCGGAGCGCAGGCGCCCTCCCAGGAGGCAGCACTGCCGGGGTGTGTGACTACCCGTTGTCTGTAAGGCCAAAGAGCAAGTGACCCGAGTGCTTCTCAAAGGGCCACCTGCCCCTCCTCCGGCTGCCCTTAGTGTAGTCAGCGTCCCCAAGGACCCAGCACCTTGGGGACCCAGGTTCACTTTGCTAACACACAAGCCAGCAGTCATCCTGGGAGGGATAAGAGAATAAGATACATTCATTTGTTCGTTCACAACGGTGAGTGAATTCATTTCACAACGGTGAGTTAGCAATGTTGGGGAAAACAAACACGTAATACATGTCACCTGTTCAACACATGCAAGGACAAAAATGTAAACGTGTGAGAGACAGCCCCCACACCATCCCAGCACCGGGATCCTCCCTTAGGCATGCCCACTGCCATCCTCCTGGGCCCTCTTTGGGGCTCGTCTCCGCTCAGCAGCCCTCCGGGAGCATTCCCCACTGTGGCGAATGAACAGTCTGACTGGCGTATAGTTCCCGCATCGGTCACATCTGGAAGAGCTGCAGTCTTCACCACAGGCAGTTTGGGACACTTTCCTCGTGCGGGCACTCATCGTTGTCAGTTGTCTAAAGCCTGTTGAAACAGTTTCTTCCCATGGCAAACTGCCCCTCCGCCTTCAGAGTGCTCGTGAGCTGCACTTCCAGGGAGGAGCACCCTCACGGTCACCGCTTCTGCCCCGGAGCTCTGAAACCATGCTCCCTGGCTTGTCTGTTTTCAGGAAGAACGCTGTGGAGCTGGAGCTAGCCAAGTGCCGGATGGACATGATGGCTCTCAATGGCCAGCTGCTGGACGCCATTCAGCAGAAACTGAACCTCTCGCAGCAGCTGGAGGCTTGGCAGGTAACCGAGAGCCAAGGGCTGGGTGGGAGAGAGGGGCCAGCCCAGAGGTCTCTGAGCCTCAGGCCATGTAAAGAGAGGTGGTTACTTCAACGGGTCATTGCCAGACCAGCCTCTGGGGCCACTGCCACCATGCTCTCCAAGCAGCAAGGCCAAGTGCGGGCTCGGGCTCCCTGCTGCTGGCTCGGGCTCCCTGCTGCTGGCTCAGCCAGGGGGAGAGTCGCTAGTACCCTCAGGCAGTGGCGTCAGACGCAGCTGCCCTGCCCTCCCCAAAGGCCAGCTTCCCTTTTCTGAGAGCTCAGCCCAGGCCCTGGGGACAGTGAGTCAGTGTGTCCACATGGATCGTGGTCAGGAGCCTGCAGATCTCCTTAGGGCTGGGGCTGGCCTCTCCTCGATGAGGTGTTGGCGGGACAATTTCGGCCCTGAGTGTAACCAGGAATGCTTCTCCCAGGAACACCAACCCAGCCAGCTGGATGGCACAGGCGGCCTTTCGGGAGGCCGGCTCCGCCTGCGTGCTGTCCTGGCCACCGCGCCGCTCACCACCCTGTTCTTCTCTCTTCTCTCCTGGCTGCAGTTTGCTTCCTCAGGGCTCTTTACTATCTGGCTCCTTTGGTTTCTGATCTAGTGGCCTTTCTCAGTTCCCGTCTCAACAGCTTTAGTTGTTCACCCCTCCTGCCTTTGAGGTGAGACTGAGCCCTGCCTGCCTCCCCCGCTGCCATTGCCTCCTGCCGTGCTGCCTCCCCCTGGCCACCATCTGTGCAGTGTGACATGCCATCGAGCCTCAGCTTCCCCCATCACTGCCATGTCCAGCACATGGCCCGCCGCTGTCCTGACCTGCACCCGGACGTGCAGCTTTGCCCACAGAAGGAATGGCAGATGCAGCGTCATGAGCTCTGTGTGTGTGTGTGTGTGTCTTTCAGTTTCACTTAACGAATGCGATTGCTTAAAGGGTAGAAAATGCGTTTGCAGGGTGCCCGAGCAAAGACTGGCAGCTCTGGAAAGATCTCTTTTCCGGTGGCCCGGGCCGAGCTGGACAGCAGTGTATTGAGCAAGCCCAGCCCGTGCAGACACTGGGGCCTTGTGTCACATGGGTGGGGACTTGGGAAAGGGGAAGAAGAGAAAGGATGCCAGGCTAGGAGAAGGGTAGGTGTGTGAAGAGAACGGAGGGGAGGGGGCGGAACCATATCCGCCCTGTCTGTGCAGATGCTGCATGAGCCACCTTACTGCCCTCAGGTGGGGGTGGGGGGTGGGTCAGTGGAGGGAGCCCTCACCTGAGCATGGATGAAACAGCTGGCAGGACAGGTGGTGCCAAAGCCTTGGGGTGTTGGCAACAGCAGGCCCAGAGACACCTAGCTGGAGGCAGGCGGGCTGTGACAAGGCTGTTTGTTTCTGAAGCAGGGGGCGGCTTTGCCAGTGCAGGATCTTCTATCAGACGGAATCTTCCAGAGTAAGAACTGGGCTACTAGGATGTAGAGAAGGGGGCTGCTCAGCCTGTCCAGGGAACAAGGGCGGCTGGTCCTGAGCAGGACCACTGGCATAGACAGCACCTGTGGCAGGGAGGCCTCCTGGGGACTGGGGGGACTCTTAAAGGCAGGAAAGGGCAGCCCCCGTGAAGCCAGACCCTTTGCAGGAGAGCTGGCTGGCTGGACCCTAGGTCCAGGAGGAGGCCAGGCAGGCAGACCAGCTGGCCGTGGAGGTGAAGGACAGATGGTGTGAATGTCCACTGAGGGGCTTGGGGAGAATGACTCCAGCCAGGAGAACCAGCCCCCCGTGGGCCCGCGTCCATCTCGTCTCACCCACACCTTGCTTTCTACCCTAGTGACCCTCACCCATCTCATCACCTCTCATCATGCCCTCATGCAGTGTCCTCCCAGTGCACCCTCCCCCACCCGTTGACCCAACTCTCCCCCCACAGGACGACATGCACAGGGTCATTGACCGGCAGCTGATGGACAAGCACCTGAGGGAGCGGAGTCGGCCAGCCTCGTCCTCCCGGGGGGGCAGCAGCGCAGGCCGGGGTGATGGGCCCAGCACCCCTGAAGGCAAACGACTCTTCTCGTTCTTCAGGAGGATTTAGGTTGGGAGGGTGGGGGGCTTCAGGGCCGCCTCACTGTCCACAAGGGCAGTAGAAACCCTGCCCCCACCACAGGGCCAACTCAAGCTTGGGCACCCCCGGCCTGTTACTGAGTAGAGCTGACAGCAGGTCATACCCAGCCCACCCAGTGCTCAGTGCCCAGCCCCCAGCACTGCTTCTGAAAACTGGGGAGCAACAAGTGGAGGCCCTTCTCCGCATGCCGCAGGGAGCCACAGGCCCAGCCTCCCCGCCCTGGCAGAGGGGTGAGGACAGAGGAGAGGCGGCTCTCAGGGGAGGGGACAAGGCCACAGGTGTTCCCTGGCTCACCCCAGGGGCTGCGGTGGACGATCCCCAGGAAGAAGGGTCCTGTTCCTGACACCCGTTCGTCCTCCCCAGCCTGTAGTGGGCCCCTAGGGAGAGACCCTCCCTCTTACCACACCTGGCCCCTGGCCCTCAGATACTTCTTAGCCCAGCCAAGCAGGCCCAGGACAGACTAGCCCCTGAGGGTCTGTGGTCAGCCACAGGGCAACATAGTACCAAGGGGACAGGAGCACTGCGTCGGCCCAGGGCGCAGAAGGAACGCCCACCCCTGCTGCTCCGGCCACCGTCTGCTGAGGCCCAAGTCCAGGCCCGCCTCCCTCCCTGGGCCAGCCCAGCAGGGCCGTGGCAAGAATGTACTATAGATGTGTACATACCACAGTGCTGTACCTTTTGTATGTAGCAACCCTGTAAATACATGTATGGATTTTATAATATACATATTATATATAAATCTATAAAGGCATATTTTTAGAAAAACGGCACACCACTGCTTCTTTTGAAAATAGTCTGAATGAGAATAAAATTAATTTCTACAGAGCTCTTGGCTTGTCATTGGGTATTTGAAAGCACCGACCTGCAGGTGGTGATACTGGTGTCCTAGCCTGTTGGTGACAGCTGCTTGAGGAGGTCACAGACCCGCGGCTGCAGTGACAGGGTGCCCTCAGGCAGGAACTGTCGGCCCTGCTTCCCGTGCCCAGCAGACACTCCAAGCTTGGAGAAGCTTTGAGCTGGTGCCTCAGAGATGGCCTTGGGGCACCTGGGCAGGGCTGCCACCAGGACAATCAAATCCTACCCACCCACAGAACAGCTGGGGAGAGGAGACTGAACCCGGAAGAAAAATTGGCAGCTTGAACCTTTATTTTTAGTAATTTTTTTAAAAAGCATAATTAGAAATTTTCCGTACAGAAATCGTCCTAGCAAACCACTGAGCAGTGCTGTTGGACAGGAAGCTTTCCTCAGGTCCACCAGGACACCGGCCCAGCCCTGAGCCACACACCCCCACCCCCCAATCTGTCATGGTGACATTCAGACTACATCCTGTAGTCCCCAAACCACACACCACGGGGACTGGACACCCAGTGGCCAGAAGCCCTCAGGCTCACCCACCCACCTTCCCTAGAGCCCCGGCTCTTATCGTCACAGCACCTGTTTGCCAGGATTGGCCTGCATGGGGCCTAGCCCAAATGGGAAGGTGCTGCCAGTCACTGGGGGCCACAGCCACTCTGGCCCAGAGCTCCCCACCCCACTGCAGCTCCACCAACAGCCTGCCACAGAGCCAGGGGCTTTTGGTGGCCTGGGCAAGTGGAGAGAGTATTCGGAAGAATGGCTCGATTTTGATTATAATCCAACTAGATAGTCTTGTCCAGAGAGCCCGAGGTGTGAGCCGGGAGTGATTGTCCCATCAGGCCTCGCCGGGAAATGGTCTCGGAAAGGGAATGGAGCAAAGACAACCCTGGGGTGGGAACGCCCAGCCCGTGGTCCTGAGGCGCAGGCAGCAGTCATCAGGGTGAAGCCCCTGCCCGGTCCTCCCTACTGGTTGGGAAACGCTTTCAACTTTGTACTCAAACTGTCAGTATCCACAGCTGCCTGTCAGCCCAGCAGCTCCCCAGCCCCCACCCATATTCTGAGGTGCTTGGTGCTACACCTTAGTCCCAGGAACTCCAGTGGAGACCCTGGACTGACCACAGGGACCTGTCCCCACCAAGAAACAGACGGAGGGCAGGAGCTGCTCTGCCAAGAGCCCCGTCCAGGTTTCCTGACAGGACTCGCAGTGGGGGTCCAAGCCGGGGGAGAGGAGATGCACGAGGAACTCGGTTCGTCTGATTTGGCTTTAGTTCGCTGTCGAGTGCTCCTCTACGCGCCGCTGGCCACACCTCTGCACTCGCATCCCCTCCCTCCCCACGGGCCTGAGACGTTTGGGTACGGAGTCGACACCTACTCTTCCCTGGGCTGGAGACTCGGAGGCCGAGCTGGAGGCCTCTGGGATGAGGGGCTAGGGCCTGCAGAAGGAGACCATCTGGAGACCTGGCTTCCCAGGTGCCAGGTGCTTACAGGTCAGGCTCAAGGTGGCAGCAAAGGCCAACGGCCTAGGGAGAGACGAGAGCAGCAGGGTGCCCAGGCCCCCAGCCCGGCTTGCAGAAGAGGCGGCCAGGCCGGTCCTGTCTCCAGGAAGCTGCGGCCGCTCACGGAGCCGGTGGGGTGGTGAGGGTCTGCTGCAGCAGGCTGTGGAGTTAAGGAGACAAAAGGCAGAGCAGGACGAGGGAGGGGTGGGGGCGGGGGACGGCTGGTTCACGCAATAGACATTATGTACAGACACTGGAGACTCCTCCCCGCGCTGGCAGCGTCCTTGGCCGGGTGGGGGCACCAGCAGGGAAGGGCAGGTTTGTCCAACACCTTCTTGGCACTCGAGGGGGGAGGAAGGGAGGAAGTGCCAATGGCGCCTTCAGATACAAAAACGTGGAGAATTCTTTAAATAACGGCATGGAACTGAGACTGTCCCCCGAGGAGCGGCCGCAGTGCAGTCCCTGCGGTGTCGCTGGGCCACTAACAGCAGCGTTTCTTTCGTTTACTGTTCTTCGTGAGCTTCACCACGTCGTTCTGCTGCTGCTGCTGCTGCTTTGCTAGGTTGTCCTTCTTGGCCCGGAGGACCAGCTCTGTGATGCAGTTGAACATCTGTGGGAAGGAGAGGACACAGCGGTCACAGAGCAGCGAGGCCCGTCGCACACACGCAATGCCAGCTTCTTCAAACCCTTTCTAGAAAGAAGTGGTGAGCTGGTTTGCTTCAAGGTCAAAAAAGACCACAACATAGACCCACAAACTGTGTGAGTTTGGGGAAGTCATTTCATCTCAGGTTGTCCAGCCTTTCGCTCTTGAGGGAGAGAAACATCTAAAACCTTTCAAGACATCAGCTAAAGGTCCACTTGCTCTGTGGACGGAGAGCCCACTGCCTGCCTGCTCGCATCACTGGCCCCATGTGGGTGGGGCATGGGGTCCTGCCCGGAACTGTCCCCACGTCCCCGGGGCCTCCCACTGTCAGAACGCAGACAGCTGCACGTGCCACACCCCGCTGGGACAACCATCATACAGCCTTCCCTTGGCATCTAGTAGCCATGAAAACAGTGAGCAATCGGCCGCTCACAGAAGCCTGCAGGTTCCAGGCCACCCAGACAGAGGCACCTGGTGGTGGGTCTCCTAAAAACCACCCACGAAAACCCTGGGAGCAAGGTCAACTCCGACCCAGAGGAGTCACAAGCTGCCATTGACTAGACAGACCAGCGGTTCTCAACCTTCCTCGCGCCGTGACCCTTTCATACAGTTCCTCATGTTGTGGTGACGCCCCAGCCATAACATTATTTCCGTTGCTACTTCTTAACTGTCATTTTGCTACTGTTATGAATCGGGGGACCCCTGTGAAAGGGTCGTTCGATCCCCAAAGGGGTCGTGACCCACAGGTTGAGAACCGCTGGCCTATGACGGTAGCTGGTTTGACCGATGATGTAATGGGTTTCATTTAATTCCCGCCCTCGGGGAGGGGGAGACATCCAGTCTCCCAGGCACAGGAAGAACTGATGACTGGTGAAAGGAAACTGCCAAATGGGAGCCTAACTTGCTGTGCACACTTTCACTGAGAACAGGGTCACTCAGCATACTCTATTCGCGGCTGTTCTCGGCCATGGTAGCCTGGCTGTCCCACAGGCGCGTCTCCCCACCGGCCTCACCTCCTCCACGTTGATGTTGTCCTTGGCGCTGGTCTCAAACAGCTGGATCCCCATCTGCCCAGCGAATTTGTAGGCGTCGTCTGTCTCCACCACCTTCCGCTCAGGGTCGTCATTCTTATTCCCCACTGGGAGACGGAGCAGAGTAAGCCCAGCCTGGTGGGGCCCCCCACTGCCCACCCACCTGCCCCCAGGCCCGCCGTGGCCTCACCTAATATTCGGCAGACATCATCACAGTTTTGGTTGATTTCGTGAAGCCACCGTTTGACGTTGACAAAGGACTCGGCGCTGGTGACATCGTAAACCACGATGACCCCGTGGGTCCCCCGGTAATACCTGGAGGGCCAGACTCTGCGTTAGACCTTCAGGCTGGGCACGCACCCTCCACCTTGCACCCCGGGCCCTCGCACTGGGGTCTTGGGGCCAAGCCTGAGCATTAAGCAGGAGACCTAGAGGCTGGCCCTGATGGAGACTTCTGTGAAGCTCGGTTTATTTCTACAGGGGTTTGCCTCCACTTTTTAGGCAAAATGCCATTCACAAAAGAGGCACTATTTGGGAGCAGCATCTCTGCTCCCCTGGGGGCCTGAGGGCGAGGGGAGCCCAGAGACTCCCAGCACCCCGTGTGCGGACCTCTCGGCTGGAGGGCTCGACCAGGCTTCTGGCATGCCACTGGCACTGTGTCCAAGGCACCCAGCACGGAACACCTAAACTGGCCCACCCTCTGAACACGGTCCTGAAAGCAGGGGGACACCACGCAGAGACCTGTTCCCAGGCCTGGAGGGTGGGAGCTGCAGCCCTGAGCCTGAGAACTCAGCCCAGCCCTCACACCAGCCCCTGCAGGGAGGGTCACTCGGCCCTCAACCCCAAACTGCGTAACAGAAGACAATGAGTGCACACTCCACAGCCACTCACACGCAGCCCGTCAGAGAGCAGCCCGGTCATCTCTGAACGCTGGGGGCTTGGGACCTCTCTGCGTGGCAGATTCCTCCAGCGTCCACTAGGGACACTAGCAATGGCCTCTGGCTGCGAGGAGAAAGGAGATGCGTCCCCAGGGCAGACTCGCTTGCCTTCCCAGGGGCACAGGCTCCCAGGCTCCGAGGCCCCTTGTTCCTCCCAGGTCAGTGCATGCTGGCACCGTGGGAACCCAGTGCCATCCGGAGCCCGTGGAAGAAGTGGCAGCATGGAAGGAAGGCATCCCCACTGAGGACTGGGGCCCATGACCACTGCCCCCAGGGCCCCAGCCTGCTCGCACTCAGAGCTGTGGTGCGGCTCCCACTGCTGCAACCTCAATGGTCACTGAGACCTCCTCGGAGCAAGCACACCAAGGGTGCCCCCCGCCCGCCCCCACCATCTCCAATTCCGTCACAGCCATTTTCCCAGGGAGACGTGAGGCTGAGAGGGGAGCAGACACAGGGTCTGACTCCACACGGCGCCCTGCTCGCTTCTGCCCCGCTTGCCTTCCTGGCAAGAGACAAGGGTCTGAGGGGATGGGGCAGGGCTAACAGGATGTGGTTTAGTTTCTCATTCGATGCCCTGAACCAAAGGTCACACAACTGCACCCTGCCAGCCCACCTGCTGGACAGAAGACCCACTTCCTGGTCCCATCCCACCTGTGCCCCAGAGTCTTTGGGCAATTCCGTACAGAGCCCACTCTCCAGCTCCCCCACAGGCAGGCAGGCAGGAGATCCAACGGGGAGCTGGCCCCAGCACTGGGTGTCATCGGATCCCCCTCACGCACCTGAGAAAGCCCGCGCTGCCCTCAGGTGGCTGATGAACACCTCCCAGAACCCTCAACACAAAGCAGCTCTGCCCACCCGGCCCTCGGTGCACAGGTGGAATGTGCTCAGCCAGCCTGGTGGCACTGGCTGGTCTCACCGGAAGTGTCCTGGAGCAGCAGACAACTTTCCTCAAGTGGAAACCCTCCACCTGCCAACCAAGCCATGTCAGTCACTTCACCCTCTCTGGGTGTATGTTTGCTAAGCCAAGAGGATGCCTCACAGGCCACTGTCCCATGATTCAGTGACATAAAGTAGGGGGAGGCCTGAGTGACAGGCCTCGTCCTCCATGGGGCCCCTGGAAGGTGCTGAGCCACAGGCAGGTGGGAAGCACCCCTCAGCCAGCTCTGTAGCAGACAGGCCCCCACAGTGTGACAACCCCCCCTGACCAAGGAGCTCAGGGGGACAGTGCCCATGGAGACTACCACTCTGGGAACCTGCCCACCGCAACTCCAGGCTGCCTGCAGAGCCTGCGCCTTCCTGGAGCCCAGAGCCCCTCCACAGGGCTTCTGTCTGTCAGCAATGAGTCTGGGGCTAATTTCACTGAGCCCTGGTGAGGCAAATCCCACTGCCACCCTCACTGTAAAGAAAGGATCAGAGAGAAGCTGCCTGAGACTCCAGAGCTGGGCCACCATCAGTCACTGCCACCTCGGGCGGAGGCCCACACACACACTGGGACACGGGCAGGTGCAGCCAAACATGGCCCACAGGTGACCAGCAATGAGCTCCCTTCCGCAGGCCCAGGGACCCTGGCCGAGGCAGCACTGGGGCAGGCAAGGTGGCTCACGTGGAGGTGATGGTACGGAAGCGCTCCTGCCCGGCTGTGTCCCAGATCTGCAGCTTCACCTTCTCCCCGTTGATCTCCACCGTGCGGATCTTGAAATCCACGCCGATTGTGGTGATGTAGCTGCCTGCACACACAAGGCACTCGGTCAGCACCCCAGGGAGCAGCAGGTCCCCTACAGTCCCAGCCCCTGGACCACCGGCCAGGCCGGGAAAACAATCAACAGCAAAGTGGTGGGGAGATCACAGCGAGATGCCAAGTGTGCGAAGGAGATGTGACAGAGAGCGCCTGCCAACTGGAGCTTAGAGAAGGGGCTGGGAAGCAAGGCAGTGTCTTTTCTATTCCGTCAAAATGAACACGCTATGAAGGTCAGCTGGAAACCCCCTCAGGAAAGGAACCGCAGTACGTCCACGTGCGCATGTGCTCGGAGGGCTGGGGTCAAGTGCGAGGCAATAGGCAGGCGCAGAGAGGCGGGGCCTGCTCTCCAGCCTGTTTTCACCCTGCAAGTGTGTGCATGTGTGGGCATGCCCGGGGAATAGGCGGGCACAGGCTGCGTTCTCAGCAGCTCATGTGGGGCCTCCTGTACAAGGCGGCCAAAGCACGCTGCAAGCTGGCCTGGTGCACCCTAGGTCCAGGCCACAAAGGCCCTCACAGCTTTAGGAAATCCCACGGTAGTCTGACTGCTCCCCACGGAGCAACCACTTCTGCAGGTCAAGAACAGGCTCTGTAAGGTGTAGGAAGAAAAAGCCAAACCCAAACCTACTTGCTATGGGACAGGGAAGACCCGCCCTGTGAGGCATCCAAGGAGCTGTCTTGAAGGAAGTAGTCTGTCTCATCTTTCTCTTCCACAGTGGCCAGTAGGCCTGAACCCCCAACCTACCGGTAGCAGCCGAGTGCTTTAACCTGTGCGCTACTTGAGCTCTTTATTGTAGGAGGCAAAGCCTGCTGCCACCGAGTCCACTCTAAGCCTGTGCAAGCTCCTTAGGGTTTCTAAGACTCGATCTTTAGGGGAGCAGCCAGCCAGCCACCTCATCTTTCTCTCCTGCAACAGCTGGTGGGTTTGAACCAGAGGTTGAGGCGAGCAGTCCAATACCTAACCGGCAGGGCTAAGGGAGGGAAGCGACCAGGAAACATGGAGGAAGGCTTCCACTGGGGCCCGGCTGTAGACCAGCGGAGATGTCTGAGGCTGAGCTGGGGGAGGCGCACTGCAGGCCTCTCGGAAACCGGGCCCCACAAAAGCACACCCGGAAGGAGGGAGGGCATTCAGAAACCAGGCAGCAGGCCAGTCTGGAAGCCCCGATAATGTCAAGGGGTGTGGCCCAGAGCCCAGCCCTACGAGGAGCTCGGCACAGAGCTCACCATTGTTGTTGGCTGCCGAGGAGTCCGCGCCGACTCACAGCGACCCCGTGCGCAACAGGGTGAACAGCACCGTCCTGCGCCACCCTCACATACGCTCTATGCGGCAGCCACTGCGTATCTATCGCCTTCTGCCAGTCCTCCTGAGGGTTACAGTCGCTAACCAAAGATCCCCAGTAGCTAAGCCAATTCCTGCTTCACGGTCTGTTCTTAGTCTGGAGGCTCCGCTGAAACCCGTTCACTTTGAGTGCCTCTGCTGGTATCTGAAACACCGGTGACGGAGCTTCCGTCATCACAGCAACCAACACACAAGCCACCACAATCTGACCAACTGACAGACTGGGGGTGCTCATCACCGAGCAGCGAGTGTGCAAGCCGGTGAAAGAACCCTAGAATGGAGAGACGGCAAAGGAAGCTGAGAAGGGAAGTGGCCGGGGTGACGCCGGCCTCTGCGTGTCAGGCTCAGACTATACCCAGAGGTTCTCCACAGAGGGCCATTTTGCCCCCTAGAGGACATGAGTTATGTCTGGAGGTATTTATGGTTATAAGAACTATCATGCTTGGCTCAGGTGAGAGAAGGACCCAGAGGTGAGGCACAGCCAGAACCCCAGAAGCCAACCCCTGGCCACCCACTCTGACTCATGGTGGCCTCACGGTTGCAGGGCAGAGAGGTGCTCCATCCAGCTTTCAATAGTGGCTGTCTCAGAAGTTCTACCTGGGGGCAAACTTGAACTGCCAACCTTCTGGCACCCAGTCCAGGACCTCACCCCACGAACTGTTGTCATCCTTCAGACCAAGCCCACCTGGTCTGTACGGAGAGGTCAGGGAAAGAGAACTGAGGAGTGAGATTGTCAGAGCCCTCCAGGGGTCTGAAGCCGCTTGGATGGGGAGCTGCAGGAGCGCAGAGGAGGAGGGTAGTTTAGCAGCCCACTGCACCCCACAACCTGGATCTCTGAGCAGCGGGAGTCTGCCTCAGCTTGTGGAAGCAGGGCTGACACCACACCCACTTTAGGGGCGGAGACCTGACCACGGGCTCAGGGTCCCTTAGAGCACCAGCTTTCAACCCGTAACCACAAGTGGCTTGGTCACTTCGGGCTAACCCTCCACCACACGACAGGGGACGCTACCAAGCCCACCATAGCCACCATAAGGAACCTGCTGCACCAGTGAGGAGGGAAATGCAAACGGAAAGCAGAGGCCATCTCCTGCCTACCAGAGAAGCAAAGAGGAAGGCGCTGAGACCTAGCACTGATTCCAACTGGCTGGGGGTTCCGTCAGTAGGAGTTTAAATGACGTGAGCAGTACTGAAGAAAATGTGAAGGGCACGGTAGTGGCACAATGGTTAAGCACTTGGCAGCTAGCTGACAGGTCAGCGGTGTGAGCCCACCAGCTGCTCTGTGGGAGGACGATGTGGCCGTCTGCTCCCACGCAGACCACAGCCTTGTAAGACAATTTCAAATGCACCTAACCTCGCAGCACTCTGTAGACATGAGCTTCACAAGTACAGCAGGGAAGCCGTCCACAGTCACCCAGCTGCCCAGCTAAACACAGTGTACCACAGGTCGGGCCTGTCCCACTTAGCAGACACACTAACAACAGAGGCACTCGCCAGAAGCACAGTCAGTAAGCGAAGGAGCCCAAGGAGAGTAGTAGTTACCTGGTGGGCTGTTAACTGCAAGGTCAACAGTTCGAAACCACCAGCCACTCCATGAGAGAAAGAGGAGGCTTGCTGCTCCCATCAAGACTGAGAGCCTGGGAAACCCACAGGGATAGCTCTACTCTGCACCACAGGGTCACTGTGCGTTGGGACTGACTTGAAGGAAGCGCAGTTTTGAGTGAATTACTGAGTACGGCTCCGCCATCCCTGCTCTGGGCCAACGGCAGAGCCGGTCCGAAGGACCTGAGCGCTCTATATATAAAAAGGGGAAGGATGTCCCTTTAGTCTGAGGGGAAGGCCAGTTGCCGGGTAGCATGTGGACTTACGAAGCAGCCTGAGAAGACACATGCCACACCGAATGGAGACTACGAGGGACCACAAGGAGTCATTTGTTGTTTCACCTAGACGTCTCACTGTCTACCATTCTATACACACGTAGTGTCCTGAACTTTCGTCACATTCTTTTAGTTGTTGCCGCCGGGTGTCGGGGAACAAGCTGACCCGGGTGAGAAAACAATGGGCTTGCTGGGACAGGCTGCTCAAGACCAGTGAAAAGGGACCCAGGGGTGGTGGCTTTCTCACTTCCGCCACCCCCTCCTCCTCTCAGCCTGACCACCTGAATGCTGCATTTCCAGGGTGGCCAGAGCCAGGTGGTCTGGGGCCAGAGAGGCAGATTTAAAGCCTGACAACGCCCCCTCCCAGCAGCAGCCCTGGGGAACTCACCTGAGAAAGTGTTGTCTGCAAAGCGCAACAATAGACTGCTCTTGCCCACACCTGCAAGACAGAAACCAGCGAGGAGATGAGGGACCCTGGGGGGCTCCTTCTCCAGGGAGCGGGCAGGAGACGGGCCTAACTCAGAAAGCTCACTGGGACCAGACACACTTCTGCTCTCAACGCCCCTTTTATCTTCCCCTCCCTCCCTCCGAGTGTGAAGACAAGCCGTTCCCACCTCCCGGAAGGCAGTGAGAAAGGCCTTCATTGAGCTGGGCCTGTCCTGAGGACCACCCCAGGAACTTGAAGCAAGATGCCAGGCGACAGAAATAAGGCAGGAGGAAGGTCAATCAAATGATACTGAGCCCTCGGAAACCACAGCTTTGACTGGGGTGCCCCTAGAGACCCCCAGGGCTATCTGACGGGTGGGGAAACTGAGTTGCAGGGAAGTTGAACGGCTCGTCAGCTACCTTCTCACCTGCCTGGAGGGTCTGCACTACACCACCTCTCAGGCCCACAGGTCCCTTGCACTGGGATCAAGACCCTGCTCACCACCACCCCTCCTGGCTCCCTGATCCGGAGGACAGCGGGGACTCTGGCCACTTTTCTTCAGCACACAGCATGTCAGCCTGCCTGGTGGCCTGTCCCGCGTCCTCCTGCCCCACCACTGCAAAGGCCAACCAACCACAGAAGGAAATGCCTAACACACAGAGAACACCTTCTGTTGGGTGGGTATTGTGGTGCTCCACCAGGAGGAGGAAACTGAGGCTCTAAGAAGCTGAGCCTGAGGAGCCCTGGCAGGATGTGGTGAACTTGAGAACTCTCCCCAGACACACAGTGTGGGGTCTTCATGAGTCCACTTCCTGGAGCAGAAGTGAATGACCCGACAAGGCTGCTCACCACATGCCTGTTGAGATCTTGACCTGGGGCCTCGTGAACCCCTCCAACAATGACCAGGGCAGCTTGTGGAGAGAACCCCAGAGCTTGGACCAGAGTCACAGAGAAGCCCTTGATTGCATGGCTGGGGAAAACCCGCTACTGTAGACACGACATGACCACTGTCTGCCTCTCAGCGGACCCCCAACATCCTCTTGGGACAAGCTTCGCAGACGAGCTTGTTTCACAAAGTACACCTGGGTCTTCCCTCCCCCCGGCAGCCTGGGGGCGAGGCTCTCCCAGGCAGACAGGTGCTGCACCCGTGGTACCTGTTCTGTTGCTCAGCCCTGGACCTGTAGGGCTCTTGCTCAGAGCCACTTCCTCATTGCCTGCTTCCTGCTGAGCCAAGGAGAGCCTGGGCTGGGTCCTCCAGAGGCTCTGCCCAAGGCCAACACCCCAACAGCCCTGCCGGCTCCTCAGCTTCCTCCCGAAGCCTTCTGGGTCCAGCTTACTCAGCTGAAAGCTGGTGCCTGGGCCACTGGGCGGTGAGCTGCTGTATACAGCAACCTTGGCTCGCTCCGCCGAGGCGTTCATGGTGCCCAGCAACTAGTAGGTGCCAGCCCTCGTGCACTCATGACTCAACAAAGGATGGTCCCCCAGTGGCATGGCATCCAATCCAGTAGGATGACACCACCAGGCGGCCCCAACCAGCTGGATGCACACTGACAGGGTCTTTCCTAACACGAAGCTGTCCTTAAATCCCAGCACTCTGTGAGCGACCACAGGCCATGGAGCCGCCCCCAGAGAAGCTCGTCCTCCCGAAGCTCCCCTCAGGCCCCACAGAAGGACTATGTGCCTTCTACCTGCACAGTGGGAAGTGAGCAGGGAAGCACCCTGGGGAAGGACGTGACTGTTAACTGAAAGGTGGAAGGTTCGAACCCACCACCCACCGGCTCCACAGGAGAACGAGGTGGTGATCTGCTTCTGGAAAGGTGACGGCCAACACCCCCGTATGCAGCAGTCTGCTCTCAGCGGAGACTCACAATAGCCTGGTCATGGTCAACAGCACCCCCTGACCACTTCTGGCAAAAACTCACACCCAGGGGCCTCCAAAAGGACCACTGTGTGCCCCTCAGTCGGGCGGCACCCAGCGCCCTCACTCCTCCCTGTTGCCGGGTGGGCCTCTGGTGTGCATCAGGCTAACCCCAGGAGGCGTCTCCCAGTTTGGCTCCTCCCTTGGGCCAGTGTGCTCACACACGCTTCCAGCTGGGAGGGATCCATTCTCAACGTAACCCTGCCTCTGCAACGACTTCGCTGGATGACTCCTCTCTCGGAGCCTCAGTTTACTCATCTGTGCAATGGAAGGCATTGGAGCTAGGCCTCGGACAGCCAGTCCAGCCCGACAAGGCAGTGGATGTGGGTGAAGGAAAAGCAGCAGCCGCGGCGAGGCGTCCTTTCCAGACGCTGGTGCAATGTGGCCGCCGAGTGGGAAGAGCTCTAGACTCATGGGGAGAAACGAGTGTGCGGGCAGGGCCCACCATTTGCCAGGCCTGCCACCAGCTGCTCCCAGAGAGTAACGGAGCTCTGCGATATCTCCTGGCCCGGCCCCTGGGGAGCTGTGTAACTTTGGGCAGGTCGGTCACCCCCTCTGGGTCTTGGTTCCCTTTGTTGCCCAACCACACAGGCAACAAGTGAGCCTCAGAGGAGAGGGGTCTGTGAGATAGGGGCTCACAGAGGGGTCTCACAAAAGCGTCCACACAGGCCCACAGATCAGAGGGGCACCCGCACCAGTCTCCTCACACTCAATCTCCAAAGCTCTCATTCCCCAGCCTCAGAAACACTGAGCTTTGCGCATCAGCTCAGTCAGGAGAAATTCAAACGCAAAGAATCTACCTCCTCTGACACACAAGGCTGCTGTGCTTGGACAGCTGGGTCCAGACCACGGAGATTGGGGGATGGAGACTCAGGGCGACCTGCTCCTGAGTCCGAGGTTGAGTGAGAAGTCCACAGCCCCTCCCCAGGATGGGCTGAGAGGGACCACCAAAACCACCCAGCTGCACCTTCCTGCTGAGTTGGGGATTATGCTGTTTCCTTCTGGGAAAGACCCCTGGCCATTGCAGAGAGCTTTAACTCCAACAGGGGAGACACACACACACACACACACACACACACACACACACCCCACCAGTGCCAACACCAGAAATCAGATCCTGTGCCGGCCAAAGTCAGAGGCCTTGTCCCTGAGCAACTACACAGCTTGTCTGGAAGGCCTTCCTTCAAGTCATCTTCTGGCTCCCTCCATCTTCCCGGTCAGCCCCCAACTCTTCCCCTCGCCTCTCCCGTCCCTCCACCAGCAGCCACGGAACCTCAGCCTTCCCTCACCTTGTCCAAACCACCAACCACATTATCACCCAGCTTCCTAGGACACCAAACCACCCACTTCCCCGACCCTGCCACCACACCACCACCCCAACTCTCCTACCTCCTGGGTCTCACCACCCACTTGACTTGGCCCCACTTACCAAGGCCTGGGTGTGCAGCCCCTTCCACACTCTCAGGTCTGGCTACACACAAGGAGCTCCCAAG